ACTTGGTCGTGTTGTGCGAGCGACTTAGTTGGACGCAAGTTGTCCGAAATCCTCTGCTTTAGTAGTGGACTTGTTTCAATGCTGGGAATTATGAAAACGAGGTCAACCTACTTCTATACGTCGAAAGGAGACTGCGACTATGGCAAAGACCACACGACTTTGGTCTCCATACCTTCTTAGAACTTAAGAGTATTTAGGAATTATTGAAAGGTGAAAGAAAATACCAATCGACAAATGTAAAACTAAAGATAAAAATAAGAGAAAAACAATGTCAAATATATGAATATTTCCAAAATTTGAAAGTGGCTCACTAAAGATAAAGAAAAAACTGATAATTACACGAGTAATCTGGGGCTAACAAATGGCCTCGATGGCATAGCATACTAAGTTAAAATTAAAAGTAAGTCGAATAAAAAAGTAGATGCCTAATCCAATGACGAAATATAAGCAACAAAAATGTAAGTTATTTATGAAAAATAGGTAAATGAAGAAATTACCAAGGCGACACGAGGCGCATGCAGGCGGACAGGGCAGACAGATTGGCTGATCGTAGAATGCTACACGATAAACGGCCTCTCGATAACCGAGGGGACATCGCTTAACACATTGCATAGTCATTCTTAACTGAGAGGGAATCTCAAATATCTTAACATCAGACTGTTGCGTTTGAGATGAAAGTGACAAAGATGGCTGCATGTCGGGATCTGGACGAGATTTGTGTTGGCCAATAAGTTGAGGTAAAATAAAAGGTGTATCATGGAGGCAGGCGAGACAGCGATCCGGGGCCAAAGAACAGCCTCGGCAAGAGCCATCACATATAAGGCAGGTAATGTTGTGAATTTTAGCCTGAATAGAACTGGTGCAAAGGGCAAGAAAAAGGAAAGCTTTAAAACTTAATAGAAAAACCATAGGTTAAGAAAAGAATGTGATAAATTTTAGATAAATTATTTAAGGTGAAAATATAAAAATACAAATTATTTATAATTAGCCAACGAGCTGAAAATGACTTACATTTAATTCCAATTATTGAATTAATTAGATTATATGTAATGCGAGAAATAAAACTAAAAAATCTCCTTGAGATGCTATCTATTAAGCCCAAAATAACTCAATTACTTAGTTCTACCCTAATTTATGGTATAGTGTTTGGCCGTATCGCTTTTCTCCTAAATTATTCTCAGTCCTTTGAAGAAGTTTCACAACTTTAATAAAAAGACTGAACTAGGTTAACAAAGGCAGGAAATGATGCTTTTATATATTGATTGTATTATATAGGATTCGTCATACTTGGAAGAGCAGTCAAGAATGCAGTTGCCATTATACAACTTGAGGCCAGGCTCGCATGTCAGGCAAAAGAACTGGTGACTCTCATTTGAGTGGCTAATGGAGATATCGCCGACCATTTTCCCGTCAATTCTGCAACTAGTACAGCCTGCCGGGCATGGCAAACAACGATAGGTAGGCGAAAGATCATTGGGTATGGTGATCGAGTTCTGTGAAGAGAGAGATGGAAGCGGTAGAGGAGCACTGAAGAACCAACCGGAGGGACAGGCTGCCAAACAATGGCCATCAGCCAGATATCTGAGAAGAGGTAACCATAATGCAAATTCAAACCCATATGGGGAAAAAGAGAGAGATAAAAAACGCAAAGGTAGTGAGACAAAGATGAAAGCAAGAAAAAAGGAAATAATAAGAATGCAATTAA